AGCTAGGTTGAGGTGGAGAATAGAAAAGTCAGTCAAGCCATGGTTAGCCAAGGCATGAAGAGTAAATAAGGTCTCCCAGGTGATGCAGTGGTAAAGAATTCACCTGCTCCTTCAGGAGACAGAGGAGACATGGGTTCTATCCTAGTTGGGAATATCCTCTAGAGGAGGAAATGGCAACCCACTCCAGTATTCTTGCCTGGAACATTCCATGGACAGAGGAGCCTGGCGGGCTACAGTCCATCAGATTGCAGAGAGTCAGATATGACAGAGTATTTACGCACACAAGAGCAAAAAATGTATTTACCACTTATTACACACCACCCTGGGTGAACACCTCGTGTTACACTCTTTTTATAAATGGACTGAATGTAATGGAACTGTCCCTGAAAAAGGCCTTTGAGGTTCAAAGGAGGTAATGGACTTGGCTAAGGACGTTGTTGTTGTTTAGTCTATAAGTTGTGTCCAGCTCTTTTGTGACCCCATGGATTACAGCCCACCAAGCTTCTCTGTCCATGGGGTTTCCCAAGTGAGAATACTGGAATGGATTGCCATTTCCTCCTCCAGGGGATCTTTCCAACCCAGGGAAAGAACCTGCATCTCCTGCATGGCAAGTGGATTCTTCACCACTGAACCACCAGAGGAGCCACTGCAGGCAGATTCTTTACCATCTAAGCCACCAGGGAAGCCCCTGGGGATGCATGCTAATAATCAGCGGGACTTGGATATGAACTAAGGTATACTTAGCTCCAAGTTCGTTTTCAGTCTTGAAGTCAGAACTGACTCCCGTGAAGAGCCCAAACTGATGGCTATCCTCTGATAACTCAATACCAATTGGGCACAGACTTCGGTTCATGTTTTCTAAGAGTTGGCATGCAATTAAGTCAAACCAACCTTCTCTAACTTGATGTTCAGTGCGCCCTGTCAGATGACTAGAAGCCAGAAGCCTGAGGCTGGACAGGAGATGTCAGCCAAACAGTCTCCCATGATTATGGGAACTGTGCCCTTGACTGAATCTGTCAAGGCCTGTCAACCAGTTTTCCAAACAGCAGATTTCCATTACCACACACAACATCTACCTGTGCAGTAAAGAAGTAACAGAGCTAATTTGGGGTGGAAATCTCAACTTTTCCATCTATGGACAAAGGAAAAACAATGTTATAAGCAAAATTTTTCTTATAGTGAAAAATCCCACATAGCTATTATGCTTTGAGATGCTGGCATTCAATTCAACTTGGTACCTAAGAAACTATTTTAAATTCTTGTATGAAGCTTCCTAGAAACAATAAAAGGAAAGTAGTTGATTCCAGCAATAAAATGTTAATAGTTCTTCCTTAAGTATTAATCTCCCGAATAAATGGTGACAATGAAAAAAGCAGGCATATAAATGCTTTGAGAGTCACGATTTTTATATTTTCTACTGCTGCTTCTGCTATTTGAAGCTGGGCAGATGACTAAACCAAATCCCAAAGAGAAGTACGTTAAGTCACAGAGAGAAGTATGAAACACCAGAGAAATCTAAATTATAGAGAACTAATGTCTTTTCTTTCGGGTCCATTTCTGAAGAACAAATCTCTCAGCACTCAGGATTATACAAACACTTAATTTCATTTTCTCATATACACACTACACCTCAAAGGTGAGGACCCTCAGAAATCATTTGGTCCAATTTCTCTTTTTATAAATGGGAACATTTGAGATTCCAAGAGGTTTAGTGAAATGTCATATGTTCATTACATGTGAAGATTTCATCAAAGTGGGAAGGGTACTAACTGAGGAGCAAGAATACCTGGATTGTACTGCCCACTAAGTCATGTATGAGTTTACACAATCCAAATGATGTATTAGATGGTTTTGAAATCTCTCCCCTCTTTGAAGGGGCTTTAGTTCTGTGTCTACGAACACTGGGCTTCCCTGGTCGCTCAACAGAAAAGCATCTGCCTGCAATGCAGGAGACCCAGGTTTGAATCCTGGGGTTGGGAAGATCCTCTGGAGAAGGAAACGGTAACCCACTCCAGTATTCTTGTCTGGAGAATTCCAGGAACAGAAGAGTCTGGTGGGTTAAAGTCCATAGAGTTGCAAAGAGTCAGACAATACTAAAGCGACTAAGCAAGTACACACACCTGCACATGAGTATCAGTAGGTTGCTTGTTTTTAGAAAGTTAATAACTTTCTCTGCCATTATAATAAAGGGGCAGTACATATGGTGGTTATGAGCATGGGCTCTAGAGTCAAACATTCTCTCTTCCAATCCCAATCTCTTCCAATCTCTCTTACTTTTGGTGAAAGTCTGAACAAGTTATTGACCCACTCCGTCTCATCTACAATACGGTAACCATAGCAGTATCTACCACAAACGGCCCTTATCATAACTATATGAGATAACACACGTCACATATTCAGCATACTGCATAGCCCACGGCATGTGCTCAGGAAACACAGGCTGCCCTTAACACCGTCATAAAGGAACGGGAGTTGGCGACTTCGTGTGCGTTAAAAGAAGGCATCCCTTCCTCTGGGCAGGTGCAGCCCGAGTGCAAAGGTCCACATCAAGGCTGGAGCTCATTCTCTGCAGCTATGTGTCTGGCTCAAAAAATTAAAGAACAAAATCATTCCCCAGTATCCTATGCTGACAGTGACAACCACCGACTTGCTTGTCATCATATAAGACTTCTAGAAAACTCTTCAGAGGGGGCCCATTTAGATGGCAGGAACACTTTTGGTCTTCTTTGCTTTTCCACCCTTCTGCCCGGAATGCTGAGGGAATGGCTGGGGTGTCAACAGCCTATCGATCATGAGGCAAGGGCTAAAAGGTTTTCAGAGACTTAGTCCTTCAGCCAGTAATTCAATGTCAGCAGCCACTGACCTCCACACTTCCTGTTTCATAAGGAAAATTAACTCCTGTACATTTTTTAGCTACTATTATCAAAATGCAATTCCTAGACAAATACCATCAAAATCTACTTCTATTGTCTATAAACAAATCAAATATTTGTAGACTTGCCTGGTCAGCCACGTGTCCCTGGGCACTTAGGGACCCTAAGTCATGCCTTCATTGGCCATCACTTAGATTTTTACAAAAGGTCAAAGGCCCTCAAGGTGCTTGCTATTTCAAGTGTGGTCTGTAGATCAGAAGCATTAGTGCTGCCTAGGAAATTATTAGAAAGGCAGCATCTTCGCCCCATCCAGACCTCCTGAATCATACAGTATCCCCGGTGATTTCTGTGCTCACTGAAGTCTAAGGATCTGGACTAGACCTACTGACTCTGCTCAGTCATTCCTCCTAAAAACTACTGCCAAAATCATCCTCCTGGTGCACATCGGTAGTTTCCTTATCATGCCACTTTCCTCAAAAACCTCCAAGGGTTCCTGACTGCCTACAGACTAAAGTTTAGACTCTTTAGCCTGACAAGGCTTTCTTTGATCTTGTATCATCCTGGAAATGCCAAGGTGACAGCCATGCCAATAAATCATATTCCACATAAAAGCAAAAAACAAAACAAAACAAACAAACAAAAAATCCATGAGTATACCTAAGAAAGAACCTGTGTCTTAATTCTGGCTCCTCCATCCCAGGCATTGGGGATACTGAGTTACAAAAAATCAGACACAGTGACTTGTCTTCTGGAAGCTTAGGAATGAATTGAAACATTAAGATCAATATTAAGTGCTAAGAAGGAAATGAATGGGCAGTGGTACACGGTAAGCTAGCCTGGACAGAAAAATGGCCCAGAGAATGGGGAACCTGTTGAGGGGCTGGCCCACGCAGAGGGAAGAGCCCCTGCAAGGATGGGAGTGAATCGGTGCAGCTGAGGACAGAACAGGCTGCCTTTCAGGCTAACCCAGAAAACTCACATCCTGGGAGGAAGGCGGCGTGAGATTAACCTTCCAAATCACTTAAGGGAAAATGCTGAATTTCTTATCTCTAGCAGAAGTCTTCACTGGGACCGTGAATGAGACAGAGAGCAGGGTAGCCTTCAGACTCGCTCAGTGCAGCCCTGGACATCAGGTTGAGTAAAATCTGAATCTCACCTCTACCACTTACCAGCTTTCAACTCCCTTGACCTCCAAGCCCCTGCTTCCTCAGATAGAAAGTGGGTTTAAGAATAGAACCAACTTTGTCGTTACTGTGAACACGGAGGGAGCTAATGCTGGTAAAGCTCCCCAGAACACGGGCACCCACACTAGTACTGACCTGAATACTAGAGGTTACAGTGCTGCGGTGATGATGATGGTGATGACTATTAATCACCATTAGCTTGCGGGTAGAGTTCATCCCAGATCCTCCTGTCCACCGCCCCCGCCCCAATCCACGAAGCCTCCCGACCTTAGCATCCCAGGCAAGCTCCCCCCACCACCCCGCGCACGGCCACCGTGACCCCAGGGCGGGCGCCGGGCGCCGCCGCCGGACCCCGTTACCTGGGGCCAAACGCGACCTGTCGCCACCTCGCGTCCTGGTCCCTGCCTCCCTCCCGGCCGCCTCCCGGCCCCGCAGCTGCGGCGGCGGCGCCCCCAGCCCAGCCCGGCCCGGGCGGCGCAGGATGCCTCGGCGGGGCTGGCGGCGGCGGCCACGCGGCGCGCTCCGGCGGAGGGGAGGGGGCTCCGCGGCGGCGGCGGCGGCGGCGGCAGCAGCGGCGGCGGCGGCGGGGGGCAGAACCCAGAGGCGCGGCGGCGGCAGCGGAGGAAGAGGAGGAGGAGGAGGAGAAGGATGCAGGGGGCTGCGGGCGGCGGCGCGGCCCGGTCCGCAGTGAAGCCCGCGGCGCCCGAGGCGCAGGGAGTGGCCGTCGCCTCCTGCGCGCACCATTCCTGAGATGGCGGCGCCGCGGCGGCAGCTCGGGGAGCCGAGGAGGGGTCAGCCGGGCGGGGGCTGAGCCCCGCCGGCCCGGGAGCTCGCCGGGGACCCTCGCAGGTGGCCGAGCCCCGGTCGGCAGGCAGGCCTGCAGAGCGGAGAGGCCGGGGGCGGCCCCGGAGCGGAGCGCGGCGCCCGGCCCGGGGAGGCCGCGATGGCGAACGCAAGCGAACCGGGCGGCGGCGGCGGCGGTGGCGGCGGCGGCGGCGGCGGTGGGGAGGCTGCCGCCCTGGGCCTCAAGCTGGCCACGCTCAGCCTGCTGCTGTGCGTGAGCCTGGCGGGCAACGTGCTGTTCGCGCTGCTCATCGTTCGGGAGCGCAGCCTGCACCGCGCCCCGTACTACCTGCTGCTCGACCTGTGCCTGGCCGACGGGCTGCGCGCGCTCGCCTGCCTCCCGGCCGTCATGTTGGCGGCGCGGCGGGCCGCGGCCGCCGCGGGGGCGCCGCCGGGCGCGCTGGGATGCAAGCTGCTCGCCTTCCTGGCCGCGCTCTTCTGCTTCCACGCCGCCTTCCTGCTGCTCGGCGTGGGCGTCACCCGCTACCTGGCCATCGCGCACCACCGCTTCTACGCCGAACGCCTGGCCGGCTGGCCGTGCGCCGCCATGCTGGTGTGCGCCGCCTGGGCGCTGGCGCTGGCCGCGGCCTTCCCGCCCGTGCTGGACGGCGGCGGCGGCGACGACGAGGACGCGCCGTGCGCCCTGGAGCAGCGGCCCGACGGCGCCCCGGGCGCGCTGGGCTTCCTGCTGCTGCTGGCCGTGGTGGTGGGCGCCACGCACCTCGTCTACCTCCGCCTGCTCTTCTTCATCCACGACCGCCGCAAGATGCGGCCCGCGCGCCTCGTGCCCGCCGTCAGCCACGACTGGACCTTCCACGGCCCCGGCGCCACCGGCCAGGCGGCCGCCAACTGGACGGCCGGCTTCGGCCGCGGGCCCACTCCGCCGGCCCTCGTGGGCATCCGGCCGGCCGGGCCGGGTCGTGGCGCGCGCCGCCTCCTCGTGCTCGAGGAGTTCAAGACGGAGAAGAGGCTGTGCAAGATGTTCTACGCCGTCACGCTGCTCTTCCTGCTCCTCTGGGGGCCCTACGTCGTGGCCAGTTACCTGCGGGTCCTGGTGCGGCCCGGCGCCGTCCCCCAGGCCTACCTGACGGCCTCGGTGTGGCTGACCTTCGCGCAGGCCGGCATCAACCCCGTCGTGTGCTTCCTCTTCAACAGGGAGCTCAGGGACTGCTTCCGCGCCCAATTCCCCTGCTGCCAGAGCCCGCAGGCCACCCAGGCCACCCTCCCCTGCGACTTGAAAGGCATCGGTTTATAAGTGGCCCTCCCGCCACCTGCACCCCAGCCCGGCCTCTCTCTTTGGCTTGGATGGCGACGTCTCTTCTGCCCCTTCGGCCCCCTTTTTAATTTTCTACGCTGCCTTCAAAACGACTCTCGAAGTGCATCATCACTTGGATTGTACAGACTCCAATTGTACAGGGGTAGGGTTTCGAAGTCCCAGCCCCACCCCAGCTCCTGCGATTGTCCTTCTAAATATATTTTCATCCTGACATGGATGTAGGTCCTGGAGTCTTTGTACTTGTACTGATGTCTTTTATTCCATGTGTTACTTTTTTTTTTTTAATAAAGGCTAATTTTCTTCATGCAACCTTTCCTAAAGACCATGGCCAGTTTTCTACAGAAGCTATTTTTGACAACCTCAAGTGGCATTACATTTTGCAGTGAAGTAGAGGAACCCAGAGGGGCTTCACCAGTTCGATTTCTTGAGGGTCTTCTGTTGGAAGCAGGAGACAGAGGGAAAGTTGTCTCGAGTTCCCTCTGAATTGCCGGCCTGGGGTCAGCTGGACTGCTCTGGTTCTTGGAAGGCGTTGAGAACTTTGTTCAGTATTGATAGTGAATTTAAAGAGCAGAGGTGGGAGAGAGTAGCAAGGAAGTCATTTTTAATAGGTAACAACACAAGTAAGATTTGTTTCCTACCTTGCTTTACACACTAGGAAATGCCCATCAGCAACAAACTGCTCTCTGTATTATACCAATCTCGAGTGGAAACATTTCTGTAAAATTGTACCTTTCAAAAGAGTAAAAAGTGTTTTGGCTAGTAATGGTGTGGAGAAAATACAGTATTGCATGTTTTTGTATGTACTGATTGTGGTTGATGGATTGGGAGGGCTCTCGGAGACGAGCAGAGTGCTACATCAAAACTGTTCAGGTATTTTTGGCCAATAAAAATTAAAAAACTTTATGGAAACAGTTTTTGCTTTGAGGAGCCCAGTTTTATTCTGTCTTATGAAACTGATTTCCACTTTGAAAATTGTTCTTCTTTTGTTCATGGTATAAATGGATGGACTATAATGATACTCGCTTCTATGAGACAAAGCATTTCCTTAAAATGTTTGCTAGGTTAAGCTGTGCTGTTCTCCTGATGGTTATTTTAAATTAATAATGAGAACTATAATTTTAAATACTATTTATTTGTTAGGCACATTGTAACCTTAAATTGAAAGACTAAATTCTGCAAGTACTGTATAATATTTTTTCGCTTACAATGCTACATTTTTATCAATGTATCTTCCGTTTTGAGGGTTTATATCTGTATTTCTCTTTGCATTATATAAATATACCAGTATTTTCATTCTGGAGTGGGTTTTTGTTGCTGTTGCTGTTTGAGGCTTTGACAGGTGGTAATATACCTCTAAGTAAGGTACTCATGTTCTATGATCCTTTTAGTGCATGCTGTTTAGTTCACCGTAATTTCGAAGACATTTAGAGGCTTGTTTACTTAAAATGCAACATAAAAAAATCTGCAGTTCTTCTCTTAAAGGGAAGAAACAGTATATATATAGTTTTAGAACTTTTTAATGAATCTATGAAACATGAGTATGAGCAGAGTAATCACTTTGATAAAATAATAATTAACAGGTGCAATAAATATATTGAAATTTCAGTTGGGCAAAATATAAACTATTAAATATTCAGTCCAAGATGGATGAAGTCATAAGAAGCAGGTGTGGCCAGCTTATCTCAGGTGAATGGTCAGCATTATTTTATTTTTTCTGTAAATACCAATCAGTCTATGCAGACAGTCTCATATTTGGAAGACATGAGTAATTATTAGCCTATTTCTCCCCAGATCATAGACCAGGTAGACATTAATTACCCAGGGGCTACTCATCAGATATCTCGGCTTACCTGAAGTCAGGTCCAGGAAGTAAGCATCTCCTCATCCAAGCCTCCACCCACCTAAGTGATCCAAGTTCAAAAGCTAGAAGTCACAAAGCCCGTGTGCCATTCAGAACTTTTGACACCCCCACAGCACAGGGACCGGTCCATCAGCGCTAACTGCTGTGCGACCCACAGGCAAGTGGCTCAACATCCTGCGGGCTTTATATGGCCTTGAGTTCATGGGTATTTTTTCATAGGAGAATCTATAAGTCAGGGGTTCTCAAATGTTAACATTCATAATAATAACTACCTTAAGTACTTGCAGGGTCCAGAGATGCTTATTAGGAGTTGAGGTGGGGCCAGAAAAAAGCATTTTTAACAAGGTTCCCAGAAGTTGGAGGCAGACTTGCAGGCCTCTGCTCGAACATGGATTTACCATGTGTACCAACTTAATCTGGTTTTGTTTTGCTTTGTTCTGATTGGGTGACAGATTTCTAATGAGGACTCAGGTGACAGGTAGTGAGAAATGACAGCTAACTGTTAAGGAAGAAGAAAGAACCAAGAGAGGCAGAGAAACCAGCTGTCCAGGGGAGTACTGTGCAGGAGCAAAAATCCCCTTGCATCTCAAAAGCTATTTTCAACACTGAATTTATTAAGCCTGTACTTTGATTATTAATTCACATTAATACAAAATCATCAGGAAAAGGTCAGTTGTGTTTCCGAATACTCATTGTACCAGGACAGGTACAATGTATTTGGGGAAGAGTTCCATTAAAATAGGAGACCCTGGTGGTGCAGATGGTAGAGTCTGTCTGCAGTGCAGGAGACTTGGGTTCAGTCCCTGGGTCAGGAAGATCCCCTGGAGAAGGAAATGGCAACCCACTCCAGTATCCTTGCCTGGAGAATCCCATGGACAGAGGAGCCTGCTCGGCTCCTCCATCCATGGGATCCGCAAAGAGTTGGACACAACTGAGTGATTTCACTTTCACTTTCCATTAAAATAGTTCATTTCTTTAATTGAAAAATTTATTTAGCATAAACACTCTCACTCCTCCCTGGGTGAAATAAATGAGTTATATCTATACCTGAAGCAAAAGAAAATGGATGACTTGTCTATAAATCTTTCTCTGCGTATCCTGGCATGGAATTCTTGGTTCAAAAGTGAGCATTTTTAGGTTTTTTGATACCATGTGGTCAGATCACTTTGCAGAAAGTCTTCTATCTACTTAGATTTCCACCTGACCATTCATTTTTTGAAAAATGAAGTTATCTCAAGTAAAATGCAGAAGCAAATAACAAATTAATAATCATAATAATAAATAGTAATCTCCATTTCTACTATTCAGCCAAGTTTTGCCAAATCTTGTCAGTCTTGCTCACTGGTTTCTACCTTTTTATCTTCCCCTTTCCTCTCTTCCCTTTTTCCTCTTCTTGCTTTCCTTCCTCCCTCTCTTATTCCTCCTCTTCCTCCCACCTCTTTATTTTCTTCCTTTCCTTCCCTCTTTTTTCCTTTCTTTCTTCCTCCTTTTGAAAGAAATAAAAAATGACACAAGCACTTCTGCCAAGTCTTTGGTTTCATCAGCAGTCATCTCCATCCTCAAGTCCCCTGCCTGTAAGAGGTTCAAGGTCCCGGGTTCAGGAAGGGATCATGGGGCTGGTAGGATTGCTTCTACTCTTCACTGTCTTTCCACGACCCATAGGCTCAAGTGCAAATTTCTGGTCTGCCACAGGCGGCCTACCGTGGTCTGGCCCCTCCACACCCTGGCCTCATCCTCCCCTGTATTTCCACTTCTCCCTTCTCTGGCTGCCTTTGTATAAACCCTCCCTAGGAAGCCCACCCCCCTTCTCTGTGTGGGGAATCCCTCACCAGCTCCTCCAGGGCAGAGGCAATATTCACAATATTTGGTAACTCGGATGGTGTGAGCATAACTAACCTGTACAGCTGTACCCTTGGTCTTGGGCAAACATCAGGGTTATGCTGGACCCAGATCCGAGATTTCTGGAAGGCCTTCTTAGCCCATTCACCACTCTGCTGGGCTCTCGTGGTGCATGGTGTATACCGCCATGCATCCTGGTGCGTCCCTAGGCTCCTGACTCCCCTGCTGGCCTCACCACCTCCCACTCCCTGCTCAGGCCTGAGATCCGGCCACTCCAAGTCATGGGCAGTGCCCTGAACAGATCACACTGGGTCACACCAACTTGTTTTGCATGCATTGTTTCTTGTGTCCAAAGTCCTTACTCCCTCTTTTCCCAACTCAACTGCTGTTAAGTTTTCAAACATACAGGGTGAGCTTTTAGACAAAAAGGGTGAACTAACCTCCATATAGCCAAAGCTATGGTTTTTCCAGTAGTTATGTATGGATGTGAGAGCTGAACAATAAAAAAGGCTGAGGGATGAAGAATTGATGCCTTCGAACTATGGTGTCGGAGAAGACTCTTGTGAGTCCCTTGGACTGCAAGGAGATCAAACCAGTCAATCCTAAAGGAAATCAATCTTGAATATTCATTGGAAGGATTGATGCTGAAGCTGAAACTCCAATACTTTGGCCACCTGATGCAAAGAGCCAACTCATTAGGAAAGACCCTGATAGTGGGAAAAATGGAAGGCAGGAGGAGAAAGGGACGACAGAGAAAAAGATGGCTGGATGGCATCACCAACTTGATGGACGTGAGTGTGAGCAAGATCCATGAGATAGTAAAGGACAGAGGACCTGACATGCTGCAGTTCATGGGGTCACAGAATTGGACATGACTTCATGACTGAACAACAACAATCTCTACAGAGAGAGAGATGTTGTCCCCATGCAGGTCCTAAAGTTTTTAAGTCTCCAAACACAGTCATTAGATCTGAGTGCCACAGTGGACCGAGTATAGCAGGCTTCCTGGCTTCCTGGCATTTCAAGATGTCTCTGACTTCAGGTGAGTGAAACTATAAAATGTGGCAGACCTAATATACCGTTTTTCATGCCCCTGGTAGATGTGTCACACTGTGTGACCTTCCGAGACCACGGAACTTCAAGACTTTCTCTGGGAGGGGGAAAGGAGGTAATGGGAAACTGTCTCTACCCACTCATATTCTAGACAGATAACAATATTTTTTGCATAGTTTATTATCAATAGCTGTTTCTGGAGTAAATAGAATTAAAAGCAAATTTG